ACCAACACTATTCCAAATGGCACCTTTGATAAATTGGAGTCTCTCGAATTGATAGATTTACCCAAGTTTAGAGAGATATGCAATGGAAATCTTCCAAGGGTTGTCTTCAAATCTCCATTGTTCTGTAACCTTATGATGGTTAAGATGCATTTTTGTAAAGCAATTACAAGCTTGTTTCAGGAGTCAATTGTAATATGCTTGGTAAATCTCCAAAGTCTAGACATATGCGAATGTCCGCTATTAGAGGAAGTTGTTTCAAAGGATGCACGAGTAGACGAAGTTACCAAAACTTGCAAAACGCTTGAGTTTCCAAAACTTAAAAAAATCAAGCTTGAATCTTTGAGGAGATTTAAGAGCTTCACATCTCAATCAAATAGTAGTGTTGTTCATCAAGCATTGTTCAACCAGGTATGGTATTCAACTTTCCTTTTATGTGCATCAAATAGTCTTTATTTGTTTTAAACAGAGTTTAGTTAGTCTATATCCAAGTTGAAGAAAAAGACAAATTTTGGAAATCAAATATATTCAAAAATGTATTCCAAATGAACAAATCATAAATAGTGAACCAAAAATACTAGAATGGTGATTTAGTACAAATCAATGAAATTTTATGATTACAAATATTATTAATCAGATGAGCCCTCTAACAAAACCTAAACCCCTGTTTGGTTACGGTAAAAAAGTATATGTCCATGTTTGATAGAGATTAAAATCAAAATTTTAGTAGATTTTGACAAAAGATAATGGAATATGTGGTTAAAAATTACAAGTCTACTAAAATATGTGATTAAGATTAATTATTTACTTTGACTTAAATTTTAACGAGAGTTTTTAGCTGTATCCAACATGGGCATATTTTGAGCAAATTTTAAAAAAAAATTAATGAAATTTGATATGTCGTGGAGTAATGCTATGTAGCCTTATTGGGGTTGCAACCTTAGTCTAAATTGCACTGGATGATAGGCTAAATGAAAAGCGGAATTAAATGACTTATTTAATTCACTTATCATTTATTGTCACATTAACGCTACCTAGACTGGGATTGTAACCCCAGTGGGACTAAATAATATTACTCATAAGTTGTGGGTCTCATAGAATAGCACCTTATGCACAAAATTAACTTATAGATTGTGTATTGTTTTAAGTTAATAATTATAACTTTTCATGTTTCTGATCAATTATATACAAATTTAAAAAAAAAATGTTTTGTAGAACTGTGGTTTTAATTAAGAATTGAGAGAATGGGAAATCTCAATGATTTTCGAATCATTAACCATATAAACATAAAAATAAAAAGAGACATAAATTTTGGAGCCAAACATTCGAGATTAAATTAGGTAATAAAGAAAGGTGAACTTTCAGTCAATTTAAATTTATTTGTACAACCTAATGTATCTCGTAATACAAATGAATAGATAGATATAGTTTCTATAGAATGACGCAGCTTTCTGCAATTCATTGATATAGATAGTATAATGGATAAATTTAGGCTGACTACAACTAATTGAACTTCGCAGGTCTACTTTCCTAAGATGGAGGTGCTGAATATTTATAACTTGGATTGTATAGTAAAGCTACTAGGCAAGGAAATGCCAATAACATCTCTGCATAAACTAACAGCCATAAGTTTGTACGATTGTGTTGAATTGCAGTCCATTGAAGAATCTGATTCAATTCAGTTACTTGAAAATGTTGTTTATCTTAGTGTGAAGAGATGTAATGCACTTGAAGAATTGTTTGACGTTGATGGTATAAAGGTCACTAATGATGATGCAGAGATTAATATGTTTGGTCGATTACGAACATTGTGTCTACAATCATTACCGGAATTGGAGCATATTACAAGGATGGTTCCAAAAGGAATTCGTGTCTTCCAAAATTTGACAGATCTTACAGTTGAAGATTGCAATAGATTAAGATACTTATTTTCACCTTCTATAGTCAACTCACTTGTGGCCCTAGAATATTTATCAATTGAAAATTGCGAAGCATTGCAAGAAATCATTGGAAGAGAAAAAGAAGAAGAAAACACTTCTGAGACAAGAAATATTGTCAACAAACCTCCATCAAACCTCCATCACTTAAGGCAAGTTGTTTCAATGGATGCAAAACAAAATGAAGTTATTGATATTCTTGAGTTCCCAAAATTAAACAAACTCAGGCTTTGCGATTTAAGCAATTTTAAGAGCTTCAGATCTGAATCGAACAATGATGGCATTCTTCAAACATTGTTCAACCAGGTATGTATCTTTCCTTTCCTCCGTGTACATTTGGCCATATTTGTTTCCAAGTACATTTGTCCAAATCAAAGAATAAGACAAATTATGAAAATTTCTCTAATTTGTTTATAAATAATAATTTATTAACATTAGAACTAAAATATTAGACTGCCATTTAGTATAAATCAAAAAATTGTTGGTTACAATTGACTCTATAAAAAACTAGTGTGGAAAAGTATTAGTTATTATATACGAGATTAAGAATTATGATGTTAGTGTCGTGGCTTACACCATTAAATGAATTTCACAGGTTACATTGCCTAACATGAAGGAGGTGGACATTAGTGGATTGCAGTATATAGTAATGTTAGTGAATATAGAGGAAATGCCAGTACGACACATGAGGGTAAAGGATTGCTATAATCTACGGACCATTTCACAACTTGATTCGAGTAAATCATTACAAAATCTTGAAATACTTGAAGTAGAAGGATGTAAAGCACTGGAAGTACTGTTTGACTTTGAATGTCTAAAGGTTACAAAAGATCATGCTGAAAGTGTATTTGGTCGATTGAGATCGCTAAAGCTAGAATCTTTGGACAAGTTAGTGCACATTATGGGCATCGTTTCTAAAGGAATTCGTGTCTTCGAGAATTTGACATCCATTGTTGTTGAAAAATGTGGCAACTTAGAGTATCTATTCTCAACTTCAATGGCCTATTCTCTTGTTTCTCTATACGTTCTAGAAGTTTCAGATTGTAAATCAATTAAAACGATTATTGGAAAAGAAGAAGAAAAAGAAGGCACTTCAGAGATCAAAACAGTTGAAGCAATGAAAACCAGAATTGCATTCCCTAATTTAAACCGCCTACTACTCAAGAATCTTTCAAGTATTCAAATGTTTTGCTCTGAAAATTGTGAACTTGTGTTTCCTTTATTGAAGGACTTGACCATTAAAAATTGCCCTATGATGAAAGAATTGAGTCCATGGCCAGTAAGTGCACCAAAGCTTGATACTTCCGATTTGTTGGATAAGGCAGGTATGTATGTGTTCTCGATTCCAATTTTACATCTTCTACTCTAATGCTATATTTGCTACTATTTATTTATTTATAATATTCTTTGTTTCTCAGGCGGCTTGGCAGAGGAGGATCAAGTTTGTAACAAATAAAAATTACTTGAGAAATATGAAGTTCATTATTTCCTAAGTATAAATTCTAATGCAGTCATTTCTTATCTATACAATATCTATTTGAAGTCTACTGATTAAATTATTAGAACTCGGGTAATAAGTATTCTTACTCTTCTATGAAATGCTCACAATATATTATGAGCGATTTAATTTCAAATTTTTGTCTATTTTATGTTCAATATTTGATTATGCATGGAATCTTCAACACATATTAATATATTCCAACGTAGAGTAGCCATAAAATATTATTTGTATGTTTAGCACATCCCCTGCCCTCAGTTAGTTCCCATCCCCATTTTTCCATGCATTCCATTGAATTGTTCAGAGCATCTCCTAGAGGCTATATTTTAAGTGCATCATAATTATAATAGGATCATCTTTATATTTACAAAGTAATTTTTTTTGCACTACAACACAAAGTTGTTTTTTTCCTCTTTATTTTACTTTTTTCAACAAATTCTACAATTTAAGATCAATCTAATCTGGGTTAGAAAAACAACGAATCTGCGTGTCTATAATAAAATGGGCATTCATAATGTGTAGAGTAAAGAGAAAACAAATGAACAAAAGTTATCGTGTATATGGAGTAACAATATTCCATTTTTCCCCTTTTCAAGAATTTCAAAATAGCATGTTAAAATAGAGTGACAAATTTATATATGCAAGCCCGAACATACTTAAAAATTATTTAGATCTATTTACTTGAAATTCAAATACTTGGATGACTATTCATGTGAGATTCACTATTGGAATATGGAAATACTACTTTCACTACAAAGTGAATGTTAAAATAGAGGATGAGTAAATAAAAATGATAACCGTTTAACCATGAGCAAAAGGATCGAAAGCCTCTCTAATATGCTAATACTTTTATATTCTTCTTTAGTATGATCGAGTTTAATCAATAATCAAATTGGGAAATTGCAGTCAAGGTATTAAACCTTTCATTTGTTAGCAGACTTGACCCAAACCTTTCAGTTGTGCGAGCAGAGGTACCAAACCATTAAAATATTTGCAGATCCAGTCCAAATGGATGAAAATCGTTAATTTGACAGTTAGTTGACCAAACTAGTAGAATTTAATCAAATATAATAAGGGCAAAATAGTAACTATACAATTCTAAAACCTAAAATAATAAAAAAATGAAATAGAAAAGGGGAAAAAAGGTTGTCATCTTCACCCCCACACCCGCCAAAATCTAACAACCACCACTGCTATCCAACACCGGCAAGGCCACCGGTACAACCGCGAAGGAAGATTGATAATCTGTAAATTAAATCAAGTTAAAGAAATAGGGAATAACAACCCTCTCCAACCCACAATATACTTATATGCCCACTAAAATACCGCCGACCAGCACACAATACATTAGAAATGGATTCAAGAACTTCTTGGAGAGGTAAGCTTTCATTGATATGTATACACCCAATAAAATCCAAACACCCAACTTAATTTGAACCGCAACCCTCTTCAAAAATTCAAACACAAATGGTAAATTATCCTGACAAATTAATTCCAATGACACATTAATATCCTTTTACAATATGCTCCAAGTGAAACCCTCGCCACACATCTTTCATTTTTAAGGAATTGCTAACCATCGTTGCCAACAATAAGAACTATGAAGATGTGATTTTTGTAGAAAAGGTGAAAAATGAGGAAGCTGAGAAATTGCATGCGGGTGGAATTGCACCTTTACACACACACACATATACAACAACCACCGTCGGAGGAATTGTATCGTGGTCGATGGTAGTTGACGGTGAATCTTCTGATCTGATTTTGTGAGGTTAGGGGTAGGGATGAATCTTCTGATATGATTTGGGGGGGTTGGGGGTTGGGGGATTGTTGAAGAAGATGGACTTGGGACTTATTAACTGTTTGAGCCATATTTTTAGGGGGGAGAGTAGAAATTTTTGGACCCTTTTTTTCAAATTTAGGTCCCACATCTACATTCAGTCAAAAATGGTAGTTGAAAAGTGCTTCTAACGATCCATTTTTTTCATTTTTAGGAGTTAAAAATGTCCTTCAAACAGGATTAAATGTCAAAATTATCCTTCACTTATTTAGAGGAAATTAATTTTTTTTTTCATTATTGGGGTGAACTAGTGGTTTTGATGGTCAAATAGATGGAAACCATCATTTTGGATTGGATCTGTGAATATTTTAAAGGTTTGATACCTTCGGTGGTTTAAACGAAAGGTTTGAGTTAAGTTTGCTAATAAACGAAAGGTTTGGTACTTTGCTACAATTTTCCCTAATTAATTAAAATAAAAAAAGAAGTCAAAATGACTGTTTTATGTACAGAAAATTTATAGAATTTTCTTGCATTAAATACTTTTTTGAAGATGTAGTATTGCAAATGAAGAAAAAGGTTGTCCCAATACCCAATTATGATTGTATTTTTAATTATTCAACATTAAATTTTGTTCTATAGATTTCATTGCTGCCTTTGATTTTATTTTATTATTATTATTATTATTATTATTATTATTTTTAAGTATAGAAAATTTTAAGCAATAAATCGTAGTTACCACTTACCTCATTGGATTTAAAAAGGATTTAGTTATATTTCTTGAATACAAAAATTGATTCTCAGACGAATTGAATAGTGATTGAATGTCATAGTATAACGTTCCTCATCAGGAGAACAGTTTGTTGATTCAACATGATGTTAAAAAGACTGCTACATTTGTAAAAACAAATTATATTTAGGAGCCTCATCATATTTTGTAGCCTTGAGCCTTAAAATTCTAAGGGCCGGCCTTATTTTGAGCTCCTAATGGTAATTTTTGTGTAGACTAAAATGAAGTAGAATGTATGTTTGTGGAAAAGCATAAGATTAGGCTTATGAAATTGTTGACTTGTAGCAATTGAATGAAAATAAGATGGATTTTGTGAAAATAGATGATTTGAGATTTTATCTTAGTATTTTAGTTCACAAGTTAAACCATTAGAATTTGAAATTTCAATTTTACGTTGAGAAAAATAACTATGACAAAGAAGAGAAACTCTTAAAAGCACAATCAAATTCAAGGTAAATGTTGGTATCATTCTTTCATTTAATTAAAACACCATTAAAATTTAGAACCTTGACCTAGATCTAGACCCAATGTGGGTGGTGGGTGGATTGGGTTGGGTTGGATTGAGGGGGTGAGGAATACATCTATTATGATTGAGCCTTGGAGGAAGGTAAGAAATTTACAAACTTGATGGCGGGAATCCTCATGTTCAAAGAGATGCAAGAAAAACTACAAACTTGACAGCACGAATCTTTATATTGGAACATGCTCTGATCTTTGTCCGCTCTGTAGGCTTACTAATCCATTGTTATTGTTCCATTCAAGCCATTAGCTCCCTATTTCTTTTTCTTTTTTAACATATTAGCGCAGATGTTCAATCAATGATGAAAGACACCGAACCTAAGATTCGAGTTGAGAAAGATTACTAGGCCATAGGGAGGGCCCCGTATGAAGTCACCATCAATTAGAGTATAGCATTACAATGTGTTGATAAGAAAAAGAAAATAGAATGATAGTATGAAAACATAAGATTGAAAAGTCAACTAACATAAAGAATCAAACTTTGGATGAAAAACAGAAAAACCGTAAATTTTAGTTTAGGCCCTAAAATCAAATTTCAAAATTTAGCAAGAAATTAAGTAATACATATAATGAATTGGAGAATTTGTAAAATAGAAGAAAACAAAACAAATTGCATTTCTAATTGATACATAAAATGAATTGGAGAATAACTAAATAAGTTTTGTAACTCAAATTCCATACCACATTTCATAGATTGATGCTAGAAAGAGATAAAATTAACTTTGACTTTTGAGGCATGAAGTGTGTATATAATATAGCATGGCAGTCAGCACAGAGAGAGAGAGATAGAGTCATACGTGAATTGGAAGGCGGAAACCGAGGTCCTCTGTCCTCAGGTGGAAGTCGAAGCAAGCAACAGCGACGGATATTCTACAATTCAAGGTCAAGCCTCAACCTTTAAATTATATGGGTTAATAAAATTGGGCCAATTTAAAAAAAAAATTCTTTTAACTTGGGCCTGGGCTACTGTGACATATTTTTAATTGGGGGTGGATTGGGCCTTCATTGGGATTGCCCTTGAGGATTGGCACTGTGTTTCACAAATTCTTGATTCTAGAATAATTGAAGTGTGCAACAAAAAGATCAAATTAATTATATAATAAGAAACTGTTGAACAATAAACTAAATAAATAAATAAATCCCTACTTCATTAGCTTTAGCTATAAGATAGTACAACCTAATAACAGAGCAAGAGTAGGTCTTGTATTCAAGGCCGTTATCTCTTTATGAAAATTGAGAACATGTAAGACCTTTGGTAAAAAAATTAAATTCATCATTTTAAACTTTTAGAAATGACGTTTTTTTGACAACCGAAAAGTTCCCTTCAAATGTCTACACAACATCTCCAAGACAATTGACTTCAAAAATTTGTTCATCCTTGCGCTCCCCAATCCCCAGTATGCCGAATTTACTACTCAACAATTATGCATGCTAATTTTTAAAAGATACTTGACCGATAGAAAAAAGAAGATTTAGATAAGACTATAAAGGACAAAGTGGCTACTTTTTCTAGGTAACTTGAAAAACTATGTTTGGCAAGTGCGTTGCAGAGTCTCATGTAGGAATTAAAGCCTGATAAACTTACAGCCACTATCATGCTTAGTAGCCAAAGTTTCATTGTAAATACATTTAGGGCATAATTGATATGCAGTAATTAAAAATGATGTACAATAACAAAAAATAACATCATGATAGATAAGATTTTTATTTTTATTTATTTTTTAATGTGGCAGAAGCAATAAGCCCTTAGAAACAAAGGAAAACTAAAATAATGAAGTTCGACCAGACTAACACCTAGAGGGGGTGAATAGATGTTTGTTCGAAATTTAAATTTATCAATTAATAAATGCAACATGTCACAGTTATTAATTAATTCATATGAATTCACATGCACACTATCCTATGTTGAATTACTGCAATTTAATAAATTGCATAAAAGTAAATGACACAGGAAAATTGTTAATGG